TTAAAATTTTTCAAAAATCAAATTTTTTCAAGATTTGAAACAAATAAAATTAAATTTTTAAAATTTAATTTTTGGCACGGAAAGTTCCAGCAATTTGCTTTAAGGCACGATGCCATACACCACTATTGTTCTAATTACTACGGTTGGTTGATCAACTATTAACACGTTGTACGCCATGTCAGTCGTATGTGTCTGACGCTAAGAAGTTCTAAATGATACAATTGCAGTATGTTCCAAAAGTTTGGCATATCAAGAACAGAACATGAAAATCTTGTTCAAAAAAATTGTCAGACATGTACGACTGACATGTTCATCGAGAAAACAAGTTTTAATAAAAGGTCTAGTCAGTCATATATGTTCAGCATAAAAGTAGTGGGTTTTCAGGAATTCTGGCAGAAAAAATTTTTTGATGCTATAAATTTTCCTGATGCATTTTTACCTAAATTATTTAACAAAGCTACCATAGCTCATGTGAAAAAATTTCTGATATTATCGTGATAATAAACGTGTTATTAACATTAATACATTGTGCATTTTTAAATTATATACCAACTTGATGAAAAAAAAACAATTCTTGCAAAATTCTTCTATTTCACCAAGTTTTGCGATGATATATGCGTTGGAAATATTTTCATGTCTGGAGCATAGCGTAAAGGCGCTTTTATGGTTTTATTTAGCAAAATAGTTAATTTATTATCATTCCACCTGTTTAGTTCTTGCATCATAAGGAATTTCTCTCAAAGATCCATCGGTTCCATGAATCATCCTGGCTCTCATTGGTATACCATGGTTTTTAATCATGACGTCTTCTAAACCGACAGATTTTAAGGCTGCTCTTGCACGAACCGACATCGCCAAATTAATCGATTTTCCCATAACATGTTCTGCTGTCCTGATATCTAAAAATAATTAAATAATATAAAATAATTGTATCTTGATTTTATAATACTACTAGTGTTATAATACTACTAGTGTTTTTTAGTTGAAGTTCTCTGAGTAAATTAAAGTGAATCCGCAAATTATCCGTTTCATTGAAGTGCTCTTTGGTAAACCACATTTTTTGTTTTTTGGTCTGACGTTAACACAAACAAAGCGGATGGTTTTCCAACTCGTGAACAGGTAACGTATAACTGCCCATGTGAAAAACAATGATTTTCTAAATAATCTATTTGAAATTTATCCCGCAAACACTAAGCGATTGGCCTTGCGACTTGTTATTGCGAAATCAAGGCAAACTGGAAATTTCAATCCTTTGAAGTCAAACGAAAGACCATTCGGAATCATTGGCATGGCACCAAATCGCCAGCAATTTTTGATTGTATGGTGAAATTCAGTGCGTGCACATTATTATTCTTTGCGGCAAGAATTGCTCGTTGACTTAAGCAAGCATAATTCTGATAATTCTCACTAATG